GCCCTTGTGCTTTGCTGCTCTGTTGCTGAAAACACATGTCCAGTATGGAATACATCTCACCACATTAAAACAGTGGATGTGGCTCTTAATGAGACATGTGACATTATCACAGTATGTCTACACCCTACGCCGCTGGAGGAATTACACTGTTTAGCTGGTATCGCACCACCTGACATCCGTCGAGAAGTAGCAGCCAATAGTGAAAGGACTGAGGCAGTGACATCTTCGGCCCATCCTCTGTTTGGATATCAGCCAGCACGCCAAAGCCTTAAATCAAGAAATAGTTTCCTACGATCTACAGAGACACTTGCAGGATCACCTCAGCAAGCGAGAGTCCAAAAATGGCAGGCGAAAACCCAGAACCTCAATCAGTGGCTGAGACTGGATAAGAGACTCCCTCCTGGGCACACAGAAGGCTGGGCGACTCGAAAGGTGTTGAATAGGCTGCGCTCTGGCACCACAAGGTGCAGAGCCAAGCTTAAGAAGTGGGGCCACAAAGTGGAGTCCATGACATGCGAGTGTGGAAGAGAATAAACCACAGACCACTTACTGCAATGTAGCCTGAGCCCTGCCACATGCACAATGGTGGACCTTCTCACGGCGACACCAGAGGCACTCCAAGTGGCCAGCTTCTGGTCAAAGAACAATCAGTATAATGCCAGGTTTGTAGGGTTTTTTTATACGTTATAACTGTATTCTCAATTCGTTTCTGACACAATAAATAAATAAATCACAATAGTACTCTATTCCATTATTATTATTTTATACTACCTTGGGTACCCGGCAGTGCCTGGGTTATTTGAAAAAGCCATTGTTTTTTGGGGAGGTGTAAGGTAATATCATTTCGTTAATTAGTAACACTATTAGAAAAAAGCCAGTCTTTGATTTTGTTGTTTATGAATGCTCCCATTAGGAAATACAAAACTACAGTTCCCAGAATCATGGGTCTATCCTCCCCAAACTCTGCCTGTATGCACAGCTGGCCATGTTGGATCTGTGTACTAAGTTTCGTCCAGATCTGAAGTTGGCTGGGTTCAGTGCTCTCTGGATGCAGGTGAACTACAACTCCCAAAATCAAGATCCAATCCCACTAACCCCTGCAGTATATTCAGTTGGTCATGGGGATTCTCTGTGCCAAGTGTGGTCCCGGTCCATTGTTGGTGGGGGTCACACTTTCTCTGGATGCAGATGAAGATACTGCAATTCCCATCGGTCTTGGTCCATCCTCTCCTCAAACTCACCAGGATGCAAAGTATGTCATGGAGAGTCTGTGGGGAAAGTTTGGTCCAGGTCCGTCATTCCTAGGGATCACAGTAGTCTCTGGATGTGGATGAAGGTACTGCAGATCCCATCATCCATGGCCTGTCCTTCCCCCAAACCACAGCAGGACGTAAAACAGGCCATGGTGGGTCTGTGTGGCAAGTTCGTTCCAAGTCCGTCATTCGTGGGGTCACAGTGGTCTCAGGAAATGGTGAAGTTACTGCAAATCCCATCATCCGTGGCAAGTGTGGTTTAGATCCCTTGTTGGTTGAGTTCACAGTGCTCTCTGGATGTAGGTGAACTACAACTCCTATAAGTTATCGTGAATTCATCCCAAACCTCTTGTTCAGTTGCTGACCAATTCCTGTTTGCTGTGTGCCATAGGAAAGGGTTGGAAAGGGCGCTGGGAAAGGCAGTGTGTGGGGTCATGCAAATTCCACAATGATGGAGGAAGGAACCCTGGGATGTCCATTCTGGAGGAAAAACAGAACATCTAGGATGAAACTGTCCCCAAATGAAAGCATTCCTTGGGTGGTGGGTAGTATGGTGTTTGGGGAGGACATTGGCAGGGGTTGGAAGCATGTTCATGATGCCCACTGTAACCTGAAATGTCCTTGGAAGGAGGGCTTTTGGTGGCTCCTCAGCACTGTGGGTTATACCTGTTTGTGGAGGCAGGAGGCTGTCTATGTAAGTGGACAGCCTCCTGCCTCCACATTATCTAGATACAAAATAATAGTACTCTATTCTATTACATATATATATATATATATATATATATGATAGTACACAACATCATCTGTTATAGAACTCTAATATGCTGATGACAACATAATCTGTGTTCAGTCAGAAGACCTACAAGCCACTTTAAACACCTTTGCAGAAGCATATGAGAAGCTCAGCCTGTCATTGAACAACGAGAAAACCAAAGTGCTCTTCCAGCAGTCACTAGCCGATCCCTCTCCAATGCCAGAGATACAGCTTAATGGTGTAACGTTAGAAAATGTTGACCATTTCCCCTACCTTGGCAGCCACCTCTCCACCAAAGTCAACATGGACACAGAAATACAACACCACCTGAGCTCTGTGAGTCCAGTATTTTTCCAAATGAAGCAGAGAGTGTTTGAGGAACGGGACATCCGTAGGGAGACCAAGGTGCTTGTTTATAAAGCTGTTGTCCTCCCAACCCTGCTATACGCCTGCGAGACGTGGACTATCTACAGACGTCACATGCAACTCCTAGAACGATTCCATCAGCGCTGCCTCCAGAAAATCCTGCAAATCTCTTGGGAAGACAAGCAGACAAATGTCAGCGTGCTGGAAGAAGCAAACACCACCAGCATCGAAGCGATGGTCCTCCACCATCAACTCCGTGGGACCGGCCATGTTGTCCGAATGCCCGATCACTGTCTCCCAAAGCAGTTGCTCTACTCCAAACTCAAGAACGGACAACAGAATGTTGGAGGGCAGGAAAAGAGATTTAAAGATGGGCTCAAAGCCAACCTTAAAAACTCTGGCATAGACATCAAGAACTGCGAAGCCCTGGCCCTTGAATGTTCCAGCTGGAGGTCAGCTGTGACCAGCAGTGCTGTAGAATTTGAAAAGGTGTGAATGGAGAGTAAAAAATAGAAATGTGCCAAGAGGAAGGCGTGTCAAGCCAACCCCAACCAAGACCGCCTTCCACCTGGAAACCGATGCCTTCACTGCGGGAGAACATGCGGGTCAAGAATAGGGCTCCACAGTCACCTACGGACCCACCGCCAGTACACCAACCTTCAGGGACAATCTTACTTGGACAACAAGGGACCGCCTAAGTAAATAGTATACAGCAAACAAGATCACTCTGCTGGCTGTTGTATTGGATCACACATCAGACACTTCCCAAGTGTCTAGGACTGTGTGATGTATCAGCAAATAATGCATGCCAACTTTTCCAGTTGTTTTCTCTTCAATCCTGCCCAAATGTAGACTCTGCAAGGAAGCAGATGAAACAATACATCACATCCTCAGCTGCTGCAAGAAGTAGTTTGTGCAGACAAACTACAAGCAGAGGCACAACACTGTTGCTCAAATGATTCGTTGGAACCTGTGCCACAAACACTACCTGCCTGCGACAAAGAACTAGTGGGATCACAAGCCAAAAAAAGTTACAGAGAATGAACATGTCAAACTCCTCTGGGACTTCCGAATTCAAACAGAGTTCTGGATCACAATACTCCTGACCTCACAATCATGTTAAAAAACCAAGTATGGATCTTGATGTTGCACTCCCAGGTGACAGCAGGATTGAAGAGAAACAACTGGAAAAGCTGACACGATATGAGGATTTAAAGATCAAACTGCAAAGACTCTGGCACAAGCCAGTCAAGGTGGTCCCAGTGGTGATCGGCACACTGGGTGCAGTGCCTAAAGACCTTGGCCTGCACTTAAACACAATTGGCGCTGACAAAATTACCATCTGCCAGCTGCAAAAGGCCACCTTACTGGGATCTGCATGCATTATTCGCCGATACATCACACAGTCCTAGACACTTGGGAAGTGTCTGACGTGTGATCCAATACAACAGCCAGCAGAATGATCTTGTTTGCTGTGGACTCATCTTGTTGTATTTCGGATAATAATAATAATAATAATAATAATAAGTAGTAGTAGTAGCAGCAGCAGCAGCAGCAGCAGCAGCAGCAGCAGCAGTATTGTTGTTGTTGTTGTTGTTCATTCGTTCAGTTGTCTCCGACTCTTCGTGACCTCATGGACCAGCCCACGCCAGAGCTCCTTGTCGGCCGTCACCACCCCCAGCTCCTTCAAGGTCAGTCCAGTCACTTCAAGGATGCCATCCATCCATCTTGCCCTTGGTCGGCCCCTCTTCCTTTTGCCTTCCACTTTCCCCAGCATAATTGTCTTCTCTAGGCTTTCCTGTCTCCTCATGATGTGGCCAAAGTACTTCATCTTTGCCTCTACTATCCTTCCCTCCAGTGAGCAGTCGGGCTTTATTTCCTGGAGGATGGACTGGTTGGATCTTCTCGCAGTCCAAGGCACTCTCAGAACTTTCCTCCAACACCACAGTTCAAAAGCATCTATCTTCCTTGCTCAGCCTTCCTTATGATCCAGCTCTTGAATTCATAGGCTGACTATGGAATACCATTGCTTTGACTAGTGGGTCTTTGTTGCCAGTGTGATGTCTCTACTCTTCACTATTTTATCGAGACTGGACATTGCTCTCCTCCCAAGAAGTAAGCGTCTTCTGATTTCCTGGCCACAGTCTGCATCTGCAGTCATCTTTGCGCCTAGAAATACAAAGTCTGTCACGGCCTCCACATTTTCTCCCTCTATTTCCCAGTTGTCAATCATTCTTGTTACCATAATCTTGGTTTTTTTGATGTTTAGCTGCAACCCGGCTTTTGCGCTTTCTTCTTTCACCTTGATTAGAAGGCTCCTCAGCTCCTCCTCGCTTTCGGCCATCAGAGTGGTGTCATCTGCATATCTGAGGTTGTTAATGTTTCTTCCAGCAATTTTCACCCCAGCTTTGCGTTCATCAAGCCCCGCACATCGCATGATGTGTTCTGCATACAAGTTAAAAAGGTTGGGTGAGAGTATAGCACACTCTTACCTGTGTTTTGTGCTCACATCAATGGCCTTTTTAACTGTGTTCTTCTGCGTCCCCCTTGTGGCCAAACTAGGGAACGTCATCCTGGGGTTTTCCTACTGTTTCAAGGGAGTGGGCGGGGCTTCCCTGAAGCCCTGCCCACACCCGGAAGTAGGAAACCCATGCAGCTTGTTTGAAATCCGTTGCTTTTGCAAATGAGAGCAACCACTGCAAACTAGAAATGCATGCATGCAATTTGGAAAGCTAACCTCTGCTTCCCAGCCTTTGCAGGTAATTATTTCCAAGCTGCTTTTGCTATTATTGTTTCCAATGGCTGGGGTTGTTTTGATGTTGCAATCCTGGTTTAGGGCAGCAAGATTGTATCAGCTCAGTCCAAACAAAAAGGTTGTGTATGGATTTCTGGAGGAACAAGGGGGAAATCATAACAAGCCATTGAGAGTATTAGCAACTGTAGCTATTTGCATGAATAAGATTGTAGTGAAAGAAGTAACTTAATTTATTGTAATTAAGGTTTTTATTTTCCCTTTGATCCTTTGGTTTTGGGAGCTTCCCATTTTGCAACATTCGAAGTCAACTTATGGCAACTTCCTTGGAGATGTAATAGCTATATATAATAATAATAATACTCTATTCCATTATTATTAATATTATTATTATATTATATTGGGTGCCCAGCGTAATTTGAAAAAGTAAATTTTCTAATTGTACACATTGCATAAGGTTGTGGGTGAACTACAACTCACATCATGCCAGGTGAACCCCGAGAAACTCCATCAGTCGTTAAAAGTTTGTTTTGTTGGGAAGTTTGCTCTGGATGCATCATGGGTGGGGTTCAGTGTGCACTCTGGCTGCAGGGTAAACTACAACTCCCACTATGATGGGTCAATCCCCTCCAGTAGGCTGAGTTATGGAGGTTCTACATGCCAAGTTTGGCCCAGGTCCATCACCGGTGGAGGTCACAGTTTCTCTGGTTGTTGGTGAACTACAACTCCCAGAAAGGAAGTTCCCCCCAAAGCCCTCCAGTAATCAAATTTCGGCATATCAGGTCTGTGTGCTGAGTTTGGTCCACATACATCAGTGTTTGGGTTCGGAGTGCTCTCTGGATGTAGGTGAACTACAACTCCCCCAAATCAAGGTGAATTTTCCCCAAAGACTTACAGTAGTTTTTGCTAGCCAATGGGGGCTCTGTGTGCCCAATGTAGTCCAATTCCATCTTTGGGGGAGTTCAAAATGCTCACTGATTGCAGGTGAACTATAAATCCCAGTGCCTACTGATGAAGAGATATTGGAAAAATAGATATTTATTTATGTATAAATTGTATGTACTTTACAAGCACTGAAATGTATAGAAAAATCAAGTTCTCTCTGTATAAGAAACCCAAGCTGCCAGGCAGGCCCGTAGCCAGGATTTCGTTTCGGGGGGGGGGGGGGGGGGGAGTTTGGTTCGGGGGGGGCTGAGTCTGAGTGAAAGAGGGTCTAGCCTAGCAAACCTTTTGTATCATTACCCCAATAACCCCCATGCATATGGGATATATTGAGTATGGTGATCAGATCATGATATGAATAAACATAACAGTTTAAATAATGCACCAGTAAGGCCTTTTCGCGAACCACCATGAGAATTTGGGGGGGGGGGGCTGAAGCCCCTCAAGCCCCCCCCCCCCCCCCCCCCCCCCCCCCCCCCCCCCCCCCCCCAAGTTCTCTCTGTATAGAAAGAATGCTAATAGAAGAGGGGGGCATGTTATCTATACATTCCAAGAGAGAGATAAACCACAGAGACTGGTACAAAAAGCCCAGTGCCTTCCTTCTAGGGAAGGAGCCCCCCTCTCCCTCCTGACAGGTCAAAGTTAGGCCCCTTAATTGATAAATGTAAGCTATGCTGCTCCTAGAAATACACAGAGACATGCCTTTTGCATGTTGGAAAATAGAACTTGATATTTCTATGATGCTAAGGAGACGTAGTGAATGAGGTCAATGTATGTAGATGCATGTTCTTTGTTTGCCTGCATTTGAAGGGTATAAAAGGCATAGTCAGCCCCTTTATCGGGGCTCTGGGTGCTTTTGGACATAGTCCACTCCAGGGTCCCAGGTGGAAATGAAATCCGTGCTTTTGAGACCTCTGGACCTCTCTTTGTCTCTTTTCCTGAAACCTTCTGCCTGCCATTTCACTACAACTTCAAAATGTCCAGGCCAATTCCCCTCAACCCCCACCAGTATTCAAATTTGGGCAAGTTTGGTCCAGACCCATCATTGTTTAAGTTCATTGTGCGCTCTGGATGTTGGTGAACTACAACTCCTATAAATGCCTCCAAAGTCCTCCCGTGTGTTTTGTTGGTCATGGGAGTTCTGTGTGCCAAGTTAGTTCCAGGTCCATCGTTGGTGGAGTTCAGAGTGCAGTTCTTAGATTGCAGGTGAACGATACATCCCAGGACCTACAACTCCTATAAATCATGGTGAATTGTCCCCAAAGCTCTCTAGTATGTACAGTTTTCTGATCAATTCTGTTCTGTTTGCTGTGTGCTATAGAAAAGAATAGGAAAGGGTTAAGGGAAAGGCAGTGAGCAGGGTCATGCAAATTCCACACCAATGGAGAGAGTCAGAAACACTGGGCTGTGGTGGAGGAAACATTAAAAAATCTAGGATGAAATGGTTCCCTGTATGAAAGCCTTTACTTGGGTGGTGGGCAGTATTTTGTTTGGGGAGGACATTGGCAGGGCTCTTGGACATGTTTATGGCGCTCACTATAACCTGCAATGTCATTGGAGAGAGGTGGGAATTAAAGCTGTTTGTGGAAGTGGAAGCCTGTCTATGTAAGTGGACACCCCAGCCACACATATACATTCATATTTTCACTTTTATTATGTGTATAGATAATAATAATAATAATAATAATAATAATAATAATAATAATATAATAATAATAATAATAATTTATTATAATAAAACTTACTATTGTTATGTATCTTTTATACAAATACATTTTAATATGTATATTTGTGGATATTTTTGCAATGTTGGTGTCTTTTAATTATTCAGTAGCTTGCTTCGAGCCACAAGGAGGAGCCGGTAAGAAACTTTTATTAGGTCTGTAGATATATATCAAAGTGCTCAGCAATGTTCCAAAATGTTAATGTTATTATTCTCGTTTTAAGTTTTACATTCTTACTAATAGTAATTGTAATGGTATTAGTAAGAATATAACATTTCTATTATCTTACAAAAATATAAAATAACACTAATAATAATATTAATAGTAATAGTAAGAATATAAAAATTCTATTAGTTTATAAGAATATAAATTTATTTATTTATTTATGTGTCAGGAGAAACCAGACAGTTGTATTACATTTTGAACAAAACAAACAAACAGACAGACAAAACAAAAAGTTTGCAATCTTGGTAGTTGATTAAATGTCCTTTGACCAGTATCTCGCCACTTGGAGTGCCTCTGGTGTTGCCGCAAGGAGGTCCTCCATTGTGCATGTGGCAGGGCACAGGTTGCATTGCAGCAGGTGGTCAGTGGTTTGTTCTTCTCCACACTCGCATGCCGTGGATTCCACCCTATAGCCCCATTTCTTAAGATTGGCTCTGCATCTCGTGGTGCCAGAGCGCAGTCTGTTCAGTGCCTTCCAAGTCGCCCAGTCCTCTGTGTGCCCAGGGGGGAGTCTCTCATTTGGTATCAGCCATTGATTGAGGTTCTGGGTTTGAGCCTGCCACTTTTGGACTCTCGCTTGCTGAGGTGTTCCAGTGAGTGTCTCTGTAGATCTTAGAAAACTATTTCTTGATTTAAGTCGTTGACGTGCTGGCTGATACCCAAACAAGGGATGAGCTGGAGATGTCTCTGCCTTGGTCCTTTCACTATTGGCTGCTACTTCCCAGTGGATGTCAGGTGGAGCAATGCCGGCTAAACAGTGTAATTTCTCCAGTGGTGTAGGGCGCAGACACCCCGTGATAATGCAGCATGTCTCATTAAGAGCCACATCATCCACTGTTTTAGTGTGGTGAGATGTGTTCCACACTGGGCATGTGTACTCAGCAGCAGAGTAGCATAGCGCAAGGGCAGATGTCTTCACTGTGTCTGGTTGTGATCCCCAGGTTGTGCCAGTCAGCTTTCGTATGATATTGTTTCTAGTGCCCACTTTTTGCTTGATATTCAGGCAGTGCTTCTTGTAGGTCAGAGCACGGTCCAGAGTGACTCCCAGGTATTTGGGTGCGCTGCAATGCTCCAGTGGGATTCCTTCCCAGTGTGAGTAGATCAAATCCTTGTCTGTTCTTAAGGTGGAAAGCACATGTCTGTGTTTTAGATGGATTAGGGATTAGCTGGTTTTCCCTGTAATAGGCAGTAAGAGCACCTAGAGCAGGGGTCCTCAAACTTTTTAAACAGAGGGCCAGGTCACATTCCCTCAAACTGTTGGAGGACCAGATTATAATTTGAAAAAAAATGAATCAATTCCTATGGACACTGCACTGCATATATCTTATTTGTATTCCAAAATCACTTAAAACAATACAATAATTAAAATGAACTATTTTAACAAATATAAACTTAATAGTATTTCAATGGGAAGTGTGGGCCTGCTTTTGGTTGATGAGATAGGATTGTTGTTGTTGTAGTGTGCTTTGAAGTCATTTCAGACTTAGGTTGACCCTGAGGGCTGAGTAAATTACCTTGGAGGGCCGTATCTGGCCCCCGGGCCTTAGTTTGAGGACCCCGACCTAGAGCTTCAGAGAGCTTCTGTTCTACCATCTCAAAGCTCCCTGCTTGAGCAGTAATGGCACGATCATCAGCATAGATGAAGCTCTCTGTCCCTTCTGGCAGTGGCTGGTCATTTGTGTAAATGTTGAACATTGATGGGGGAAGCACGCTCCCCTGAAGCAGGCCGTTCTTCTATCTTCCCCATCTGCTTCTCTGGCCCTGGAACTCAACAAAAAAGCTCCTGTTTTGTAGGCGGACGAGGTGGTAGTCCTTTGTGATAATATACATTTTTCTCAGGAGGAGGCGGTGGTTTACAATATCATAAACCGCTGACAGGTCTAGACAGCTCCTGTCATCTGCTGCCTTTCAAAGCCATCTTCTATGTGCTGAATCAGGTTCAGCACTTGCGATGTGCAGCTTTTGCCTTATAAAAAATATATAAAATAATATGAATAATATTAATAGTAATATTAGTAAGAATATAAAAATTACTACTAATGATAACATTAATATTATTTTTGAATATTATTGGGTACTTTGATATCATTAAATATTTCATATGATTAAATATTAGTATTGCTATTATAATATTTATTATTCTTATTATTATTATTATCTTGGGCAATTTATCCACTTCTGTCCAAATATTCTAGGTCTTCCAGTGCAACTCTGCTGTCTCTGAATCGAATCCCGTTCCATCCTTTTTCCCTTTCCGCACCAATAACGGTTTATGGAATTCTTTTCTTTACATCATCTTCTTGGATAAATCCGCGCCACCGTCTCCAGGCCACGTTTCAAGATGGCATCCTTAATTTGTTCGGAGATGGTGAGCAGGTGAGTGGGTCTTGCTATTCGCCTCACTAGTAACATTCATATATGTATTCATTGTTCGCGGGGTGGACAAGAGAAATTGTAAAACACTCACAACACCCCTTCTAGGTAGACATGCGAATTCAGTCCTCTCCCGTCCTCCCAATTCAGCTGTACAATGGGATGAACTGTCTCCAAGACAAGCAATTAGTTCTGATCCAAAAAAATATGCAGTCTTGTTCACAGTTTAGCAGAGAGTTTATAGCACAGCCTCTGACCTTGTATAGTTGCTCACCAGCTTGAATAAGCACACTTGAGCTATGGCTTTCATCCAAACCCTTTTCAAGGTTAATTCTTCAGTCATTGCTACATACAACTATTTACAGGTCTTCCATCAGTATAGAGATACTCACAAACATTTCTCTTTCTCGTTGATCTTCTTTATTTATTTATTTATTTATTTATTTATTTATTTGCTTCATTTTTATACCGCATTTTTCAGCCCTTGACAGGCGACTCAATGCGGTTTACAGTGCAATTAAAACACAACAATACAACAACAGGGTCGACGACGTCGCTCCACAACAATTAACAATCAGACTTTCTTCTTATATTGTTCCATCTTTTCCTTATCTTCCCCTCTGGGCCTATATCATTGGCATTTCTTCTAGTTATTTTGTCACTTTACTTATACATTAATATTTTCTATTTTCCATTACTTTTAATAATAGCATTTCATTTATATTTGTTAGAGATTATTTTGTTTGTTAATGTGTTAGTAATGCCTAGATATATACCTGTTAGCTTGGTTCGTCGTCTAACCTTTTATACAGGTTGAGGCAGCATAACTCCCTTTTTTCAAAACTTAATAAAACCCATTGTATGAATCAGAATTTTTTTTATAATGTAGGCGCATACCTAAAGTTTTATTTTACGTAGTTTTGAAGATCCAATTAGGTAGGTGACGTCCCGCATTCTCCATACACTGAGTAAACCGATTTCTGGTGTTTGTCATGACTCTTCCTGGATGTTGGTCTTCAAATCTTGTCAGGTCCTTGGACGGTTCACATAAACACGGGATTTCAAAAAACCCCATAGAAAAAACTCACAAGGGGCCCAATCTGGAGAGCGGGCCGGCCACTCCAAATCCCCCCTAATTGAGATGAGTGTTCCCTCAAAACAGCCGTCGATGCTCTTGAAGTGTGCGCAGTTGCACCGTCTTGTTGGAACCAAATGTCCCCTAAGTCCAACCCATCTAGCTGTGGGAAAAAATCCTGTAACATGTTTACATACCAGTCCGAATTCACTGTCACTGTGACTTCATTTTCCTCAAAGAACCAGGGACCAATAATTCCAGCTGAGGAAATCGCACACGGCACTGTGACTTTAGGTGAATGCAAAGGCCTTTGATGCAATTCTCGAGGATTGTTGTCAGCCCAGTAGCGCATGTTTTGTTTGTTGATGGATCCACACAAATGAATATGGGCTTCATCGCTAAAAAAACAATAGCGTCCTCAGGAACGACTTCGAGAAGAACCTCACACGCATTCCTCCGAGAATTGAAGTAACGTTCAGAAAGTTCCTGCACAATCGCCATCTTGTAAGGATGGAAATGAAGATCATCATAAAGAATTCTCCTCACAGAACAATTGGAAAGTCCAAGGGCAGACGCATGTTTGCACGCAGAACACTGTGGTGATTGCAACATTGAAGCTCTCACTGCCTCAATGTTCTCAGGTGATGTAATGGGCCGAGGGACTCCAGTTTTTCGTCTTGTCACACTTGCAGTTTGTCTGTATGTAGTGACCCACATCACAATTGATTTCAGGTCCAGGACAGGGGCCAATGGGGCTAAATTAAAGCAAATCCGAAAGGTGCGCTGGGTTGCAATCACAGAACATCTGCTCGAAAAGTAGGCCTCAACGACAAAAGCACGCTCCTCACTGTTCCAACGCATGATGGTGACTGAACTGTGTCAGGACAAAACTTTATACTCCCGCCTCTCGAACGAGACCACTAGCGCTGCGCTACATCTTCAACCGACTGAATGGCGCGCATTTTAAAAAAGGACGTTATGCTGCTGCACCCTGTATCAATCAGTCTCTCTCTACACATACATAAACATATTCATCTATAAACCTATATGTGTATGTGTGTGTTTGTATCTACTTCTATAATTTCTATATCATTGATATTGTGCTTTTTTCTATTTTAGTTTCTTAACAATTGACCCATCAGTTTGCATGCGTCTCTTTAAGTTTTAACATAAAAAAATACAGAAGATAATCATATATTATTTATTTTATTTTGAGTTATCAAATCCTGTTGTGGTCACCTTCTTTTGATTTTTCACAAAGTCTATGAAAGGTTTCCATTCTTCTTATAGATTCTGCAAATTCGTTTGCTTTAAGGCTAAAGTTAATTTGTCCATCTCTGCCATTTCTAAGTCTTTTGTAATCCAGTCCTCTGCCATTGGCATAGCTTGTTGTTCCCACAATTTTGCATATTCAACTCTTGCTGCTGTTGTCATGTAGAGAAAGATCCTTTATTGGTGTTTTGGTAATTTGCTTATCTAATAATTATATTAGAAATGTTTCTGGTTTCAGTGTTATTTTGTTTTTTAAATATAGTTTCCATTTCATTATGAATTTTCATCCAAAACGTTTCTATTTTTCTTATTCTTTCAGTGGACTGTGCTATGAACACATGTACATTAGAACTGTAATTTTCCATACTGAAGGTCCATGCAATGCATTCCTATCTAAGACAGCATTTTTTACCTGACATTTATATAACGTAGCCAAGGATTACCGAGTCCTATACCAGGCTTTCGGATGTGAAGGTCTAACATCTTTTCTGTATTTGCATTTTCTGCCATCTCAGAGTCAGCTCTATCCTCAATCGAGACGCAAAACAGTTCGGGAAGAGCTTCATGTTTGACGGCAAGGAGGAAACCTGTTGGAACTCAGACCAGGTGAGGTTGAGGGAGCTACAAAGGCCTCAGTATATAATGATTGGAATCATTTGTAGCCCAAGGATAGCATGAAGTCACACTGGAGGTACATAAATGGCTTACAAATAGCATGGCGTCATCCTGGAGGACCGGGAAAATGCCAGAGGGAATCATATATTGTTGGATGTTAATTAAGATTTCTTATTTATTTTGTCGTTGCGTTTTCCGCTTGTGCCAGGGCTCTGTCCAATGGTTGACGTTGGCCTTTCCGCAAACTGTCCAAGTCTCCGAAATCATCATCCAGTTCCAAGGAGGATTTGCCAGCCAGAAATGTACCCTGAAAGGTAAGGAGTCCCTTTGGTCAAATAAGAATCCTGAACTGATGTGAATTGTGGCCGTCCAGGTGGTTTTCAGCAGAAAATCTTCCGTTACTTCCTAGGTTTCCGAAATGGAGAAGAGCTTCCAGAGACGGCAGAGTTTTATCCCGAAGATACCAACTCTCTCCAAATATCCTTGACTTAAAACCATGCGGAATAGACTGTTGCAATGTGTTCAATAGGGAGCTGCCCTTGAAGACAGTTTGGTTTGCCCATTTTTCCTTAACGGTTCCCTCTAGACTTTCCCTATGAAGGAAATGCAGCTAGAAAAACTCAAAATCACCTTTGAAAACAGCACGGATTTCTTCGGCCGGATCATTGTCTACCGCCTCGACGTTTTAGGGGAGAAACTTTGATGTTTTTTTTTCTCAATACATTAAAAAGTTAAAAAAGGAAACACAGACTGAGTCACCTTTCTCTGCATTGTTCTGGAATGTTTGCACATTCATTTTATTTATAAAAAGGTAAAGCTAAAGGTTTTCCCCTGACATTGTCCAGTCGTGTCCGACTCTGGGATGTGATGCTCATCTCCATTTCTAAGCCGAAGAGCCGGCGTTGTCCGTAGACACCTCCAAGGTCATGTGGCTGGCATGACTGCATGGAGTGCCATTACCTTCCCGACAGAGTGGTACCTATTGATCTACTCACATTTGCATGTTTTCGAACTGCTAGGTTGGCAGAAGCTGGGGCTAACAGCGGAAGCTCACGCCGCTCCCTGATTTCGAACCTGCAACCTTACGGTCAACAAGCTCAACAGCTCAGTGGTTTAACCCACTACACCACCGGGGGCTCCCTATTTTATTTATAGTCAACCCCAATAATGATAGTTATTATTTATTATTATTAGTAATATTATTTCGTAATATTATTAGTAATATTATTACTAATAGTAATATTATTACTAATAAATAACACTACAAAATGCAAACTCTGGCAATGCAGGCTACCTAAGCCAATATATATTAATTATATATGTTGTTGTTGT